GGGAAACATCTAACTGTGTGATGTTATAGTTGGTCATATCATTGTGTTCTTTGATTGGAAGGATATTCGTTTCCTTGTGTAGACGATGTTCGAAAGTAATTTATAAGCTCCTTAAGACAGCATTTTGAATGTGTCTGCACTGGTTACCACACAGCAGAGCTTCCAGAAATAAAGGCGAACATTTCAAGTTCCAAGCTTGCTCTTCAAGAAACTGAAATGATTCTTCGATTCGTTCGATGATTCGTTTCGATTAAAATTTACTTTATATTTTAAGAATTCAAGTACATTTTGTGTTTATATCGTACAAATTATAATTTTTTTTTTTAAATTTTATGTTTTCGTTAAAAAATTGGCAATGTGTAGAAAGTGAAATGTTTAATTGGATTTTTGTATAAAAAAATAAGTTCAATAATTTAGTGATAATTAAGAAAAACAACAAATGACAAATGTACAGGCAAGAGTACTGGAGTAGTAACAGTAATTGACAATTGCAAGACAAGATGATTTGGAGAAAGAATTAAGAATTTCAAGGAAATCTCATATTCATCACCGTTAACAACAAATGACAAAAGTACAGGCAAGAGTACTAGAGTAGTGAAAGTAATTGACAAATGCAAGACGAAATGATTTGGAGAAAGAATTAAGAATTTCGAGGAAATGTCCTATTCATCATCATTGACAAGAATGTGTTATCTTATCAACAAAGTCTGAACTATTTTAAAAAAAATTTCTATAAAATTTTATTTCATTTTAGATCCCATCAAACGCTTTAAACCTCAACTAAATATAATCGATTGGGAGCATGAGATCTTGCAGTTATAAATTTTTTGTTTTTTAAACTAAATATTTTTTTTTATAATTTATAATTACTCTTTTTAAGCTTGGCTTAATACAAAAAACAAATCAATAAAAATGTTAAATAAAAAATAAATTAAAATAACTTTAAATTTCAACAAGTTTTTTATTTCTTAAAAAAAATAAAATTTACTTTCATTTTTCTTTTAAATCTCAAGTGAAATATTTTTAATTATGCAAATTTCTTTAATTAAATGTATATTTGAAATGTTTTTCATTTTTTTGTAAATTTCATTTAACAATTCAGCCAACCGAAGGAAAGCAATTGATCATGCAATTGTTTTGTTGAAATTGTTTATAGTTCAGTTTGTATATAATCGATTTAAAATACTTTTTTTTTCTTTTACTAAAGTGCAATTTTACTTTCACTAATTAATCGTTTTTTTTTACATTTAATTATTAATTGCTATTAATAACAATATCTTGTTAATTTAACCATAATTATTCAATAATTATTGCATCGGGCGTAAACAAAATGGAAAATATACAACAAAGCGTGTTGGTAAAACGAATAAAAATAAAAGTGTTTGTTTAAAGCAATTGTTGTTAAATCGCTATTAAGCAGTTAAATGATATTGGTTTAGAGTTCGTAGTCGGGAATATGGGGTGGATTCGAAAACTTTGGAAAATATTAATCAAGTATCCCAGAAAGACTAGTATTACCTACACAATTAGTCTATCTATCTATCTATCTATCTATCTATCTATCTATCTATCTATCTATCTATCTATCTATCTATCTATCTATCTATCTATCTATCTATCTATCTATCTATCTATCTATCTATCTATCTATCTATCTATCTATCTATCTATCTATCTATCTATCTATCTATCTATCTATCTATCTATCTATCTATCTATCTATCTATCTATCTATCTATCTATCTATCTATCTATCTATCTATCTATCTATCTATCTATCTATCTATCTATCTATCTATCTATCTATCTATCTACCTATCTATCTATCTATCTATCTATCTATCTATCTATCTATCTATCTATCTATCTATCTATCTATCTATCTATCTATCTATCTATCTATCTATCTATCTATCTATCTATCTATCTATCTATCTATCTATCTATCTATCTATCTATCTATCTATCTATCTATCTATCTATCTATCTATCTATCTATCTATCTATCTATCTATCTATCTTATCTATCTATCTGTTCGGGCCTCCTCCTCTCCAATTAATAAAGGGTGTCTTTTGTATATTAAAAAGAAAACATTTTTATATTTTAAATACAAAAAAAAAATAAATTAAATTAAAAAAAATTAATAAAAAAATCAGTGGGTGTTGAAGCATATAGAAACAGATAAAGAAAATATCTATTTAATTAAATGCATTCAACTTACCAGCTTTTAGTATGGGGCGTTTTATTCGTAAACGTTATCATAATATTATTTTCATAAAACAACATTTACAAAAACGCCTTTAATTTTATTAAAATTTCTTTAAATTATAACACAATTATTCTAATAACAAGTAAATTACTAACACACTCTTATGTTATATCTACTCTTTCTAAAGAAAACTCTTATTTTTTAAATTTTTATCGGTTTTTGATTTTGTACTCTTTTAACGGAAATTTTCTCTTTGTTGATTTGAAACATAAACAGAAAATAAATTGCTTAGATCACTGAGGTGTTGAAATGCATTAAAGAACAACAACAAGCTGTTGTTTAAAATACATTTTTGTTATTGTTATTAAACTGTATACATACTCTTACACATGTAGACAGTTGTTGTAACGAAATGCACTTTTAGTACAAAACAATCAAAATCAAAGAAAAAAACTTGAAGTACCCACTTCAACAGTGTGGTGGTTTTTGTTGTTGTTGTTGCTGGTGTGGTGGAGGTTTGGCTGATGCAGTTTTCTATAGAAACAGGTTTTATTTTATTACTTATTTATATTTGATTTTTTTGTTATTTGCTTCGATTTGTTGTTGTTTTTTCTCTTTGATTTTCCCTATTTATTGACCGGACGTCAAACATTTATGTAAACAAATTTGTGAGAGTCAGTGGTTGTTGGCATTTCACAGGGAATTTCAAATATTTTAATGTTTTTTGAAAATGTTGAGAATTTTTTTAAAAACAGATATTCTTTTTAATATTAGTTTAGGTTATTTTGCTAATTTTTTAAATAAATTCGTTCGATTTTTGTTAAAAAAGGAAGACCTAAACCAATAAGTTAACGTATTATAGAAAATTGCGACAATTTCCTTAAACTAAACCAAGTATTTCTTTACAGTAGTGAACTAATCTTATAAAGAGATAGATTTCTGATAGTGTAGACTTCAATATTCCCAACTTTCCAAGTATAGCATACAATCTTTGCAACACTTTATTTAATCTTAAATGTTGCTCCAAAGGAAATATGCATATTATTTCTTTATGTTATTTTTTTTTTTTTTCAAAATAACGTAAAAACTCTTAATTTCCGCTCATTAATCACACAAACATATTTTACAAAAATTATGCTCTTTTTTAATAAAACGTTTTTTTTTTTTTTTTTTTTGATAAAGAAACAACAAACAAACTGAGATCAAATGTTTATGCACAATTTTTTATGTAGCTCCAACCAGCTTCATTTTTTATTGTTTATGGATATTTCTATCAATTTTTGATTTATAAGAATTACTTACTCAACTCGTTCGAACTTACTCTCGCTCTCATACAAAAATTTTAAAAAGTGAAGCAGAAATATATATTAATAAAAGAAGAATAGCAACTGAATTAATAAATAGGAGGAAAGTAGTAGTGGGTCGTGAACGACTATATATTGAACTACATTACCTATGAAGCAGATAACGGCAAAGAGTTCTTTATAGCCTAGACTCTAGAGTAGACTATAGTCTGGATTATAGAGAAGACTATAGTGTGGACTATAGAGTAGACTATAGTCTGGACTATAGAGTAGACTATAGTCTGGACTATAGAGTAGACTATAGTCTGGACTATAGAGTAGTCTATAGTCTGGACTATAGAGTAGACTGTAGTCTGGACTATAAACTATTGGTCTGGGTTATAGACTAGACTCTAGAGTAGACTATAGTCTGGATTATAGAGAAGACTATAGTGTGGACTATAGACTAGACTATAGACTGGACTAGAGACTAGACTATATTCTGGACTATAGACTAGACTATAATCTGGACTATAGACTAGACTATAATCTGGACTATAGACTAGACTATAGTCTGGACTATAACTAGACTATAGTCTGGACTATATACTAGACTATAGTCTGGACTATAGACTAGACTATAGTCTGGACTATAGACTAGACTAGACTATAGTCTGGACTATAGACTAGACTATAGTCTGGACTATAGACTAGACTAGACTATAGTCTGGACTATAGACTAGACTATAGTCTGGACTATAGACTAGACTATAGTCTGGACTATAGACTAGACTAGACTATAGTCTGGACTATAGACTAGACTATAGTCTGGAATATAGACTAGAATATAGTCTGGACTATAGTCTGGACTATAAACTAGACTATAATCCTGGACTATAGTCTAGACTAAAGTCTGGACTATAAACTAGACTACAGTTTGGACTATAGACTAGACTAGAGTCTTGACTATAGACTAGACGATAGTCTGGACTATAGACTAGACTAGACTATAGTCTTGACTATAGTCTGGACTATAGTCTGGACTATAGACTAGATTATAGTCTTGACTATAGTCTGGACTATAGACTAGATTATAGTCTTGACTATAGTCTGGACTATAGACTAGACTATAGTCTGGACTATTAACTAGACTATAGTCTTTACTATAGACTAGACTATAGTCTTGATTATAGTCTGGACTATAGAGTGCACTATAGTCTGGACTATAGACTGGATTATATTCCTTACTATAGACTAGACTATAGTCTGGGCTATAAAGTAGAGACCCTATACTTTAAGGTAAGACTGGGACTATTATTTACGAATGTTATAAACACCATCTCAACCATCTAATACCCACCACACTCAAGTGATGTAGGGTATAAACATCCAAACAAGAGTTGCTGGTGTATGCAAGAGTGTGTGTTTATTGTTTGAGAGTATGTTGTCTATATGTTAGATTTGGGGGACAGACAGCACTAAAAGTTGAAATTTCAAAAACACAATCATTCGAGTACAAACATTGGAACGCGGTGGAAGTGTCTGTATTTTTAAAGCATATAATTTTTCGTACGTTCAGTTCGTGTGTCGGATAATTATTTAAAAAAAAAGAAGATATACAAAATACTAAAATTAAGTGTGATGTTTAATGTTTTCGTCTAAAATATAAAAAAACAACAATAACAGCCAGTATTTTAAACAAAAAAAGGAATAAATAAATAAAATAACAAATGAATATAAAAGTTTAATTAAAACGAGGGTTCCTAACGAAAAAATATATAAAAATAAAAAAGTTTCAAAAAACAAGTTTGGTTATAATTAATGATCGTGTTAATAGTAAAATCTTTGGAAAAAAAGTTAATTTAAAAATCATTTAAAAAAAAATGTTTATAAAAATAAAATAATTTATAATTTTTTGTTTAACAGTGTCTAAGTGCGGGTAATTGAATGTCGTTTAATTTTAATTTGTTAACGTCTCTTGAAAATTGATACATTTGCAATAAATTGTAGCAAAATATTTAAATAAAAAAATACGTAAAAATTGTTGTTTTTAAAACGAAAATAGCATTTCCGCATTATAAAATAAAAATAAATAACAAGCCGTAAACATAAAACCTTATATTAAATGTGGAACCACCAACAACAACCATCATCATTATTAAATCCAGCAACTTTCAGTCATTCCACTCATTGATTGATAAAAAATTTAAAAAATAGCAACAACACAACAAGAAAAACAAGCAACAGCAGCTGAAAAACAACAATAAAATTTGGAGGCAGAAGAAAACACGACAACAAGTCACCATTAAAAAAATAAATTTATAACAGTTTTATTTATTCAGAAAATTATACAACATCGACCAACAATCAGTCAGCAGCATCAAACGCTTTAAGTTTCGAATGTCTTGTATTTTTTGTAAAATAATCAATCAATCATCTTTGAAAAAGTGAAAAAAAAAACTTGGATTTAAATATTTAAATGGACTGAAATTAAAATCAAGGTAAGTTTTTGTTTTATTTTATTTTCCTATTTATTTATACTTCTATTTTAGTTTAAGCCATTAAAAATAACGTTTTTGTTTCAAATTATTATTTAACTAGTTTAAAAATGTTAACTAGTTATTTGTTTATTTGCTAAAAATAACAAAAAACAGTTTTAACAGGGGTTACGCAAACAAATGTGGACAAATGAAAAGTTGACAAAAAATTTGAAAAACATATTTTTTTTTTAATTTTTTTATAAATTTATGTTTTTAAGGCATAAAACTGATTTTTGAAAAATTGGAAATTAATTTCGAAAATTCGAACTTGAGTTCGAAATTATGTTTTTGATAAAAAAATATTTTTGAATAATAAATTCTTTATTCTTACTCACTTTTATACATTTTTTTTAGATAAAAAATTTAAGTTCGAAAAATTCGAAATTAATTTCGAAAATTCGAACTTGAGTTCGAAATTAAGCTTTTTGATAAAAAAAAAATATATTTTAATCATAAATTCATAATTCTTAATTAAGTTTAAATTTTTTTTACACAAAAAGTTCGAAAAATTCGAAATTTTGAAAATTCGAACTTGAGTTTGAAATGAAGTTTGATAAAAATGATTTCTTAAGCTAAAAAAAGTAATTTTTAATAAAATTTAAAAGTTTTTCAGTAAAAAATTTAAGTTCGAAAATTCGAACTTGAGTTCGAAATGAAGTTTTTTGATAAAAAAATTATTTTTAATCATAAATTCATAATTCTTCTAAAGTTTAAACGTTTTTTAAACAAAAAATTTAAGTTCGAAAAAGTCGAAATAAGTTTCATAAATTCGAACTTGAGTTCGAAATGAATTTTTTTGATAAAAACTGATTTCTTAAGCTTAAAAAAGTAATTTTTAATCAAATTTCAAAGTTTTTCAGTAAAAAATTTAAGTTCGAAAAATTTAAGACTAAGTTCGAAAATTCGAACTTGTGTTCGAAATGAAGTTTTTGAGAAAAAAAAATATTTTTAATCATAAATTGATAATTCTTAATTAAATTTAAACGTTTTTTAAACAAAAAATTTAAGTTCAAACAATTCGAAATAAATTTCGAAAATTCGAACTTGCGTTCGAAATAAATTTTTTTTTTTGATAAAAACTGATTTCTTAAGCTTAAAAAAGTAATTTTTAATAAAATTTTAAATTTAGTTTTTCTTATAAAAAAATGGTTTTAAAAACATAAATTTATATAGAAATATTATGTTTTTAAAACAAAAAACCAATTTTCGAAAATTCCAAATTAATCTCGAAAATTTGAACTTGAGTTCGAAACTTAGTTTATGGGCAAAATTTAACTTTTTAAGCCGAAATTCTTAATTTGCAGTTAATTTTATAAGTTTTTAAGCAAAAGAAATAAGTTCGAAAAATTCGAAATTAAAAAAATTAATCGTTTTTGAAAGTTTAATTCAAAACTTTATTCATTTTCTGCATAAATTTATGTTTTTATAGCAAAAACGTATTTTCAAAAAATTCGAAATTAATTTCGTAAATTCGAAATTATGTTTTTTGATAAAAACTAATTTCTATAGCTTTTATACATAATTTTTAATAAAATTTAAAAGTTTTTCAGTAAAAAATTAAAGTTCGAAAAATTTGAAATTATGTTCGAAATTTAGTTTTTCTTATAAAAAAGTTGTTTTTTGAAACTAGAATTCTAATTTTTATAAATTTTCTATATAAATTTATGGTTTAAAAGCAAAAAACGAATCTTTGAAAATTTCGAAAATTCGAACTTGAGTTCGAAATTTAGTTTTTGAGCAAAATTCAACTTTTTAAGTCAAAATTCCAAATTTGCAGTTAATTTAAAAAGTTTTCAAACAAAAAATTTAATTTCGAAAATTTCGTAAATTACAAGTTATGTTCGAAATTTAGTTTTTCATAAAAATAAAGTCTAATTCAAAATTTATATTAATTTTCTATATAAATTTATGTTTTCAAAGCAATAAACGTATTTTCGAAAAATTCGAACTTGAGTTCGAAACCAAGTTTTTGGATAACAAATGATTTCTTAAGCTTAAATACGTAGTTCTTAATAAAATTTCAGTAAAAAAAATTATTTTCGAAAAATTCGAAATTAATTTCGAAAATTTTAAATGTCATTTTTTAATAAAAAATTATGTTTTTTTAATAAAATGCTAAGTTTAAATGTCAAATTAATGTTTTAGCTGTAAAAAAAAACAAACTTCGAAAAATTCGAAATTATGTTCAAAAATTAAAAAAATTTACTTTTTAAGCTTTTTAAGTAAAATTCAAAGCTTAAATGCTAAAATAATAATTTGGGAGTGAGAAAGCAAACTTCGAAAAATTTAATTTAAGTACGAAAATATAAAAAATTTACTTTTCAACCGAAAATTATGTTTTATAACAAAAATTCAATTGAAATTAATATTTTTAATGAAATTGAAGTAAAACTCTCTTTTTTCCACAATTAGCCACCTTGTGAATATTTATAATTTAATTTTAATTAAAATTTCTTCTTAAAAATTAAATGTTTCTTTTAACATTTCATTTGTTTTATTATAATTCATGATAATTATAATAAAACTAAAAAAAAAACAAAACTCTTTGTATTATTAACCTATATCTTTGTTGGTAATTAGTTTATATTACAAAATTTTAGTTTATATATTTTTAATTAAGTTGGTTTTTTTAAGTTTAAATTAAAGAAAAAAATAGTTAACACAACAGAAATAATAATAACAAAAACCAACTTTAGCAGTTTTAACTAAAACCAAACAAAAAAAAAAACCAAACAAATACCAACAATATTTGAAACTGGCAAAACGACTTTCAACATCATTTTGCCGTTTTTCCATATTTTTTTTATTTTATTATTTTGTTTTATATATTTTTGCAAATATAAGTTGTTTTTTTATTGTTTATTGTTGTTTATGTGTTTCTCTGTCGGTTTGTGTTGCTTGCCTTTTTCTTTTTTTGTTAATTCTTTTTGCCATTTTATTTTCTGTTTACGGTGAGTCATAGGTTTAAGCTGGGTTTTAAAAGTTATTTCTTTTTCTTTAGAATTAAATAGGAATTTGATTTTTGTTTAATTCTTTTGTAATAAAATGGTTACCTAAAGTTGTGTCTTTTGTTTATAGGATTTTTTTTTTTATAATTTATGATTTGTTTATAAATTTATATAATTTATAATTTGTTCAGATAAACAGTAGCAGAGAAATGAATATAAATTCAATGGATATATCTTCCCAACAGAAAATTTGTCCAACTGATTAAAACGAACTAGTCTTGTGACTGTTGAAAAAAAGTAGACTAGACTATAGACTAGACTATAGACTAGACTATAGACTAGACTATAGACTAGACTATAGACTAGACTATAGACTAGACTATAGACTAGACTATAGACTAGACTATAGACTAGACTATAGACTAGACTATAGACTAGACTATAGACTAGACTATAGACTAGACTATAGACTAGACTATAGACTAGACTATAGACTAGACTATAGACTAGACTATAGACTAGACTATAGACTAGACTATAGACTAGACTATAGACTAGACTATAGACTAGACTATAGACTAGACTATAGACTAGACTATAGACTAGACTATAGACTAGACTATAGACTAGACTATAGACTAGACTATAGACTAGACTATAGACTAGACTATAGACTAGACTATAGACTAGACTATAGACTAGACTATAGACTAGACTATAGACTAGACTATAGACTAGACTAGACTAGACTATAGACTAGACTATAGACTAGACTATAGACTAGACTATAGACTAGACTATAGACTAGACTATAGACTAGACTATAGACTAGACTAGACTAGACTATAGACTAGACTATAGACTAGACTATAGACTAGACTATAGACTATACTATAGACTATACTATAGACTAGACTATAGAATAGACTATAGACTAGAATACACTATAAACTACTAGGCTAGACTTTATACTAGACAATAGACTGAAAACTAGTTTAGATGAAGTTTCATTCCAATTCAAGACCTCCCATTCTAGAATGTTCTTCCATAGAAGCAGTGAAAGGACTAGTTTTTTTCTATACTCTTCCCCTCCTACAATCAATCTCTCTCTTTCAAGATCTAGTTACGTAACTAGTTTCCTTGCAATTCTCTTCTTCCTAAAACCACTCTATAACAGTTTTAAAATTTCAAAATTTGCCCCCATTTTACCCACCACAAATGTCTTAAACCATTTCAGATTAAGTTTCAACATTTATCACAGCTTTTAATTCTTGCATTTAGCAATATTTTCATACTCAATAAATTAAAGTCGATGTCAAAAGTCTCAACCTTCTTTATATATTCTTTTGTCTAAAAAAACACTTCTTAATATTGAAGTTAATTGCAAAAGTTGCAAATATATTCCAAAAACCGCTGAAAGCAATAAAAGATCAAGAAAACCATAACAAAAAACCCAGTAACTTTAAGCCAATATTACAACATCTAAGACCATAAAATAAAGCCATAAAAACCAACAAAGATTACAACAATAATTTAAACAACAAAAGGCGAACTGAAAAAATATCAACAAAGAAATATGTACGTTCATAAAAATCAAATACAGGGACGTAAAGGTCAGGTATTCAGACATTCTTTTAAAAACTCCTCGTATTCTTTTGTGTGTGTTTTTTTTTTTCATTTCGTATCTAAACTGGTTTTAAAAAACTCACTTCTATTAAAGTTTGCTTTAGTGTGTGTTTTTTACGTTTAAGCCATTATTTATTTTATTTCTTTTCTACGTATTTTGGTCAAGAATTTGTTTTTATCTCGTTGAAAAAAATCTTTAACGGAAATACGTAAAAAACCTAATCATTATTATCACCACAATAATAATAATGAATACTTTTGCATATTTTTTTGTCTTTATTGGAATTTTGAAAATAATCTATTCTGTTATTAATTAAAAGAACTTTGAAATATTTTTCAATAATTTTTTAAATCTAAACACGTACTTAATTATGAAAAACTCAGAAA